GGGACGGTGGCGGTGGCCCCGGGGCAGCACCGGGCCGCCCGTGACCGCCGCGGTTGTGCCGCAGCCCTTCTGCGACGGCGCGCACCGGGCGGCGGCCCCGGCGCTGTCCCCGCTGCGCTTCCGGCCCGCCCGGGCCGGGCCCGCGCTGCTCTGCGGCTGCAAACGGACCCGCAGCCCCCCGTACTGCGACGGCTCCCACCGGGACCGCGCCGCGCCGCCGCCGCGCGCCTGACACCACCGGGAGAGACGGAGAGCCGGAGAACCGGGAGAGACGGAGAACCGGAGAGCCAGAGAACTGGAGAACTGGAGAACTGGGGGCAAGAGGAGAACTGGTGGCACTGGGAGAACAGGAGAACTGGGGACAACGGGAGAACCAGGAGAACCGGGGGCAACAGAAGAACCGGGAGAACTGGGGACAACAGGAGAACCAGGAGAACTGGGGACAATGGGAGAACTGGGGACAATGGGAGAACTGGGAGAACTGGGGGCAACGGGAGAACTGGGGGCAATGGGAGAACCGGGAGAACTGGAGAACCGGGAGGACTGGGGGCACCGGGAGAACTGGGAGAACCAGGAGAACTGGGAGAACCGGGAGAACCAGGGGCAACAGAACTGGGGGCAACGGGAGAACCGGGAGAACTGGGGCAATGGGAGAACCGGGAGAACCGGGAGAACCAGGGGCAACAGGAGAACCGGGAGAACCGGGGGCAACGGGAGAACCGGGGGCAACGGGAGAACCAGGAGCTCGGGGGCACCGGGAATTTGGGAGCACCGGGAATTTGGGAGCACTGGGAACTCAGGAGAGCCGGGAGCTCGGGGGCACCGGGAGAACCGGGAGCTTGGGAACATCAGAGACTTGAGAGCACCGAATGCTCTGGAGCACCGGGAGAACCGGGAGCACCCGGAATTCGGGGGCACCGGGAGAACCGGGAGCATGGGAGCATCGGGAACTCGGAGCATCGGGAACTCGGGAGCACCAAATGCTCGGGAGCACCGGGAGCACCAGGAATTCGGGAGCACCGGGAGAACTGGGAACACCGGGAGCACCGGGAGAACCGGGAGCACCGGGAGAACTGGGAACACCGGGAGCACCGGGAGCACCGGGAGAACTGGGAACACCGGGAGAACTGGGAACACCGGGAGAACTGGGAACACCGGGAGCACCAGGAATTCGGGAGCACCGGGAATTCGGGAGCACCGGGAACTGTCGAATTCCCCACAGGAATTGTTGAACTCGCTGTCGGAATTGTTGAATTTCACGGAGAAATTGTTGAATTCTCTGGAGAAATGTTTTCATTCCACGCAGGAATTGTTGAATTCCCCGCAGAAATTTTGGATTTCACACAGGAATTGTTGAATTCCATGGAGAAGTTGTTGAATTCCTGACAGGAATTCTTGAATTTCACGCAGGAATTGTTGAATTTCCTGTAGGAATTGTTGAATTCCATGAGAAATTCTTGAATTCCCCACAGGAATTGTTGAATTCCACGTGGGAATTTTATTGAATTCCACACAGGAATTTGGAATTCCACACAAGAATTTTGAATTTCACACAGGAATTGTTGAATTCCACACGCGAATTTTGAATTCCCCACAGGAATTTGGAATTTCACACAGGAATTGTTGAATTCCCTGCAGGAATTTTTTCCCTTCCCACACCCTCCCCTCTCCGGACCCTCCTAACCAAAGGCAACAAAATCTGATTTTTATTTTTATTCATTTTCATTTTTATTTTTATTTTAAAATTGTTCTTTTTTATTTTTATTTTACATTTTTATTTTTATTTTAAACTTTTTTTTATTTTAAATTTTTATTTTTAAATTTTTATTTTTATTTTTATTTTTTATTTCTTTCATTACAAACGCACCCGCAAGGGCAGGAGGAGAGGCTGGGAAAGACGAGACACCAAAAAATAATAAAAAAAACAAAAATTCGGGATTTTGGGAAGCTCCATCCCGACCTTTGGGTGCCCCCCAAATTTCCCTGGAGCCGGCGGGACCTCGGGAAGAGAAAATATTCCGGGGGATTTGTGCTGTCACCACCAAGCTGGAGGAAATTACCCCCCAAAAATCCCCAAAAACTCCAAAAAAAAACCCAAAAATCCCAAAAAACTCCAAAACCCTCAAAAAAAAAAATCCCAAACCCCCCAAAAAAACCCAAAAAAACCAAACCCCCAAAAATGCCCAAACCCCAGAAAAATAAAAAAAAAAAACAAACTCATGCCCAAACCCCTCCCAAAAAAAACCCAAAAAAACCAAACTCCCCCTCTAAAAACCCCAAAAACCCCAAAACTCCCCAAAAATTCCCAAATCCCAAAATGTCCCAAAAAAACCAAACTCCCCCCCTAAAAACCCCAAAAAATCCAAAACCCAAAAAAAACCCAAAACTCCCCAAAAATGCCCAAACCTCCCCAAAAAAACCAAACCCCCCATAAAAACCCCAAAACCCCAAAAATCCAAAACCCAAAAAATCCCAAACCCCAAAAAAACCAAAAAGCCCAAAAAACTCGAAACCCCAAATAAAATCCAAAAACCCGAAAACCCAAAAATACAAAACCCAAAAAAACCCAAAAACCCCAAATTTGGAAAAAATCTGAATTGAGGGTTTGGGGTTTTTTTGGGGTTTTTTGTTTTGTTTGGTTTTTTTGGGTTTTAGTTGGATTATTTGGGGGGCGTTTTTTGGGGTTTTTGGGGATTTTGGGGTTTTTTGGATTTGGGTGTTTTTGGGGTTTTGGGGTTTTTTGGGATTTTGGGGTTTTGGAATTTTGGCGTTTTTTGGGTTTTGGGGATTTTGGGGTTTGGGGGTTTTTTGGGACTTTGGGGATTTTGGTTGTTTTTGGGGTTTTTTTGGGTTTGGGGGGTTTTGGGGGTTTTTGGGTTTGGGGCATTTTTGGGGGTTTTGGGGGTTTTTGGGTTTTGGGTTTTTGGGTTTTTGGGGTTTTGTGCTCAGCCTCACCCCCGTGGCCACGGCCCCGGCGGGGAGGGAGGAGGAGGAGAGGGAAAACCTCCGGAAAAAGCGGGAATGGGAAATTTGGGAATGTGGGGATTTGGGAATTTATGAATTTGGGAATTTATGAATTTGGGAATGTGGAAATTTGGGAATTTTTGAATGAGGCAATGTGGGGATTTGGGGATTTGGGAATTTATGAATTTGGGAATGTGGGGATTTGGGAATGTGGGGATTTGGGAATTTATGAATTTGGGAATGTGGAAATTTGGGAATTTATGAATGAGGCAATGTGGGGATTTGGGGATTTGGGAATTTATGAATTTGGGAATTTGGGAATTGGGGATTTGGGGATGTGGGAATTTGGGGATATGGGAATTTGGGAATTTATGAATTTGGGAATGTGGGGGATTTGGGGATTTATGAATTTATGAATTTGGGAATTGGGGATTTGGGGATGTGGGAATTTGGGGATGTGGGAATTTGGGGATTTGGGAATTTATGAATTTGGGAGTGTGGGAATTTGAGAATTTTGGAATTTATGTATTTGGGAATTTGGGGATTGGGGATTTGGGGATGTGGGGATTTGGGAATTTGGGGATTTGGAAATTTGGAAATTTGGGGATGTGGGAATTTTGGAATTTGGGGATGTGGGAATTTTGGAATTTGGGGATGTGCCAGCTCCCAGCTCCGGGGCAGGATGAGGGAGGGGCCGTGCAGCTCCCACGAGTCAAACCCGGATCTCCCGGAATCCCAGGAGGATTTTCGGAATCCCAGGAAGATTTTTGGAGTCCCAGGATGATTTTTTCGGAATCCCAGGAGGATTTTCAGAATCCCTGGATGATTTCCCGGAATCCCATGAGAATTTTCAGAATCCCAGGAGGATTTGGAGAATCCCAGGAGGATTTTCAGAATCCCAGGAGGATTTGGAGAATCCCATGAGAATCTCCTGGAATCCCAGGAGGATTTTCAGAATCCCAGGATGATTTTCATAATCCAAGGAGGATTTTCAGAATCCCTGGATGATTTCCCGGAATCCCATGAGAATTTCCCGGAATCCCATGAGAATTTTCAGAATCCCAGGAGGATTTTGGAGAATCCCATGAGAATTTTCATACTCCCAGGAGGATTTGGAGAATCCCAGGAGGATTTTCAGAATCCCTGGATGATTTCCCAGAATCCCATGAGGATTTTCAGAATCCCATGAGAATTTTCAGAATCCCAGGAGGATTTTGGAGAATCCAAGGAGGATTTTCAGAATCCCTGGACGATTTCCCGGAATCCCATGAGAATTTCCCAGAATCCCAGGAGGATTTTTCAGAATCCCAGGAGGATTTTCAGAATCCCAGGAGGATTTTGGAGAATCCAAGGAGGATTTTCAGAATCCCTGGACGATTTCCCGGAATCCCATGAGAATTTCCCGGAATCCCAGGAGGATTTTTCAGAATCCCATGAGAATTTTCAGAATCCCGGGAGGATTTTTCAGAATCCCATGAGAATTTTCAGAATCCCATGAGAATTTTCATAATCCAAGGAGGATTTTCAGAATCCCTGGACTATTTCCCGGAATCCCAGGAGGATTTTCAGAATCCCGGGAGGATTTGGAGAATCCCAGGAGGATTTTCAGAATCCCTGGATGATTTCCCGGAATCCCATGAGAATTTCCCGGAATCCCATGAGAATTTTCAGAATCCCAGGAGGATTTTGGAGAATCCCAGGAGGATTTTCAGAATCCCAGGAGGATTTTGGAGAATCCAAGGAGGATTTTCAGAATCCCTGGATGATTTCCCGGAATCCCATGAGAATTTCCCGGAATCCCAGGAGGATTTTTCAGAATCCCAGGAGGATTTTCAGAATCCCAGGAGGATTTTGGAGAATCCCAGGAGGATTTTCAGAATCCCAGGAGGATTTTCAGAATCCCGGGAGGATTTTGGAGAATCCCGGGAGGATTTTTCCAGCATCCCTGGATGTTCTTAGCTCAGGGCCGAGCCCGCGCTGCCGTTCAGGGCGGTTTTGCGGCCGCGGCCGGGTGGCACCGGGTGACATCCGGGTGGCACCGGGTGACAAGCGGGTGGCACCGGGTGACAAGCGGGTGGCACCGGGTGACAGTTCGAGGCGGAGCCGTTGAGGGCGGCCCCGGGGGACGGTGCCAGCCCGGGGGGCGATGCCAGCCCGGGGGTCGATGCCAGCCCGGGGGGCGATGCCAGCCCGGGGGTCGATGCCAGCCCGGGGGGCGATGCCA